AAAATATTTATAGAATTGTTAAGAACTGGGTATACCATTATTATTATATCGTTGCGTCAGCGAGATCACGTGACTATTCTCACGCCACCTGCTTTCTAGAACTATCCCGTTCCTTCGGGAGTGCTCTAGCATTTACTAGATTGGGGGGTGGTCTGGTATATATAAGATGGTCACGGCGTGACGTGACAGAGTGTGTGTAGGTAGTGAGTAATTGATCTGCAGTGAGAAAGTATTGTTGAAGTTAACGTTCGTTCGTTATAGTGTTTGTTTTAGCGTAAATGTTGAAATTATGTGTATCGTAAAGTTATATTCGGAATGAATAAACCAGTTTTATTAAGTAAGGACTTGTGTCGCTAAAGTTTCGTCGGAACGAAGTTACGGAAAGTTAATTAACAAACGGAGACGTAACAATATTTTTAGTATTTTAAATACAAAACTAAGTTCATATGGGAAGAGTAATTATGCTAATCACAAAGAAAATTATAATACTTGTCGGAGGAGTAAAAAATGTATCATTTTAAGATTTGTTTATTCATTGTTAAACGAAAAACTACACAGCTACTTGCGCTGTGTTCACTCCAGAGATCGAACCTTGAATTTTAGCTTTACTGGTAATAGATTCCACCTATCTACGATAATCCCAGTAACAAGACTCTGACTTTCATTTATCGAATTCTGTTTGATACTTAATTGTTATTTTGTATATCACATTACATTTTATTCTACTAGCAAACAGTTAACATTATTTACATTTTAACTTGGCTTTACCTGAGGAATAATTAGCAGATTGTGTTTCTTTATATTCAATATACACAATATCTGTGATATATATATGTTGAAAAGTAGATTCACAGACACCTTTTGACAGTGTATAATTTTAAAGTATACAAACTTATTTGTTGACGAGCTTTTGGTGTAGTGATCTGAGCTAAAATCACCAAATTCAAGTTAATAATGCATCACTTTCTCTTATGTTTGAAATATCTGTCCTTAACTTCAGCTACATAAAACTGATTATAAAACTCTAATATCATTCAGGAAATTTCTAGAAATAATTATAATTCTGTTGTTTTTTAACTTTTGCTTTGACAATTTTTTTATTTATTCCCAAGAAAAATCAAATCCTAGTATTACCTGAAAGATATCTCACTTACTGGGTGGCAAGAAATTAATATTTTCATCTGTATATGTTTTCATACATTTTTCAGTGTTGGTTGTGACCTTTCTGCACTTGTTTTTACCCCGTAGATACTGTTGTAACGGTCTGTATTTTAAGACGAGTGATTTCGTATTATTCCATAAAATAAAAATGTAAACTCCAGTTCACTTAATGATAGTAGACGTTGGAAATTATAAAATAAATCTAAAGTTTACTGGTAGGACTAAATTGATAATAATACAATAGACGGTAACACAAAAATTTCACTTACTTGCAAATTTTCTCCTACAAACATAGCACATTCTCGTATCTATAGTATTTCATTGACACACTAACACGATATTTGCAAACAAAAGCTGACCAACAAAGTTGCTTAATGAACAATGAATTCTCCACTGTAACAGACTCGCAAAAAGTCTTCATTTCTAGCCTATCTCGCGCTTTATATCGTTCATCGTTTCCTATACTTTCGAGACGTAAAATACCTCCTTAAACCAAATATATAATTAAAATTAAACAATACAAAGCATCTACATGAAAAAACAAACATAGCTTAAAACAACACCTTGTCATCAGGTTTTTCACCATAAGTTGGTTAAAACTTCCATGTAGTTGTTTTTACTCCGCAGATAGAGCTGAGAGTGGCCTATTATTTAGCCTCCCGAGCATTGAATTCAGGGTTCATGATTTGCGTCTTATAGACACAAAAATGATTTCCTTACTCTGAGGACGTGGATGTGCTGTAAAAGTGCGAGTCAAATTGCACTTTCTGAATAGACATGAGCATCCCAATAGTTTGCAGTGGGTACTGTTAACATGCTGCCTTCCCTCTATTCTACTACAGTGTGGTTCAAATTCAGAGCAGCTTTGTGGTTTTGCACAATATTTCCAAACAAGAACATCCCCATAGATATTTTTACAAGGTTGTTCAGCAAAGGAAAATGCAAATTTTTATTCTTAAGTATCACTTTTTAAAGTGAAAAAAAATTATAGTGGAATTAAATATACATTGAATTTCAGTCTATGGATAATCTTTGTATAAGATTAAAACTTCCTGCTTATATGCTGTGACTGTTGTTCTAAATATGGCAATACAAAAGAGGTTTGAGTGCGTTATATTAAAACAATAACGAATGGGCATTTTGACATTTCCTAAAATTCATCGCTTTTGGAAAGGTTAGGTATAGCTGTAAGCAGCTAGAAAATGAAACACGTATTCATGTATTCAATATAAATAGAAACTGGTCATCCCATGGCCCTTTATTGTGATTTCTGTGTGATTAGACTGTTGAAACATTAGATGGATTGTTGAAAGCATGTGGGGGTTGGTGGGTGGGAAGACTTCATTGGAGGGCTGTTGGCAAGATGCATGGTCGTCAGAAAGAGCATGACTGAACATCGCGACAAGGAATGTAATGACGTGGTGAGGCTCCTAAATCATTTTAATGTAATGCACTCAACCTCTGTATCACTATTGTTTGTTTCTTTCTAATCCTCCCAGCTTCTCTTCCAGATATTTTGTTTAAATTGTTAAACTAGTACTTCTTAAAACCTGTTTCTTTTCTGATCTCTCCATTTCCTTTCCAGGCTTTTTTTTTAATTGTTCAAAAGATAAGGACAAACAAAGACAACTGTATGTTTTATAAATACTTCATTTATTAGCGACCATAGTTTTGCCAGTAAAGGCATCACCAGGTATCAATTATATTCAAAGCTTGTTTCTTTTATAAATAACAAGTGATTTAGTCAGGTATAAGTTGATTATCTATCTTTAATGACAAGTATTTTAACAATTTTATGGATGACAGTTTGGTTTATGACACTCATTCTATCATGTTTTTATCATTTGGAGTTGCATTTATTTTTATCTTTTTATTCATAAATTTTAGACAGTATCTGAAGAAAAATTAAGCTAGAAATGTTAATAATTATTTTTGAATTGTTTATGCTGAATATGGAATTAGGAAAATTCTGAAATATGTTTTTTTATCATTTCAACAATTTTATGAGTTTAGTTTTCTACCAAATGAGTCTTGAGATTCCTATTCACTTGCAGATTGAGATACAAACTTTAAAGGCTGTTAGTGATTAGTGTTGCCAAGTCTGCATATTTCTCAAGTCACAATTTCTAGAAATATTTTTTTTTTTGCATAACTGAGTCAAATACAATGGTACAACTTGTTGTCAATAATAATAATAAAAAACTGGTGGGGGAAGTGATGGAAATAGACTTTCTAGGAATTTTTAAATGCTCCCCAAAAAAACCCACTGCTTTTATAGGATTTACAAAACAAACATTTGTTTACAACATTCATTGTCTTTCCAGGTTTGCCATGAATTGTGTGAGCCCTGTAAATAGTACCAGAATTGAAAGTGGTCCTTTTTTACTTGTCACTCATCTTAACGGATTTATTTCATGCTAAAATTCTTTACAGTGAAGAGAAGTATAAACAGTGTATAAATATGCATGATTTTTTCAGTAGATGAAAGATGGGAAGAATGGGGAGAATGGTCACCTTGCCCTGTCACATGTGGCCGAGCACCACGTGTTCGACACAGAAATTGTACACTATCTGAAAGTAAAAAAACCTGTCCTGAAGAAGGTCGGCAAAATATAGGAGAATGTGATAAAGGCCCTTGCCCAGGTGAGTTTATGACTGGAAATACACTCTGTCCTAATAACCAAGAAATTGATTAGTTAACCAAACACCCAAATAAGTAACAATTACAAATCATGTATTTAATTAATTAAAACATACACACCTAGTTAAATGATCAATCATAAGAACATGTCCCTGAAAGATTCTCTGTCTTTTTTTTCATCCATTGAAGCTAGGTAAAAATTCATTTAGAGGTAATTTACCTGTAACAATACTGAAAAAGAAAAGTACTCAGATTCCAAGTTTTACGATAATCAGAGGTATTTTATCAGCAAATAATGGAAAAACTACTAAAGTCACAAGTAATAAGATTATCAGAAGTACTTTTCCTGTAAAAATACTGGAAAACAGTACAGATATCACAAGCTCTAAATATATGGTGAAAACATAATCAAATCACACATATTAGATTTCTCATACATACTTTTCCTGAAAAAAATGCATATAAGATACTGAGATAATCAGTGTTACATTTCATAGAGGTACGTTTCTTGTAAAAAAACTAAAAAAGTACTGAGATCACAAGGTTTAAAGTTTTCTAGCTCATTAATATTAAGTACTGTGTTTAAAAACATTTGTATCCAAATGCATAGGTTTAGAAGTCTAAATCAGATAAAATATAAAATTACAAGTTTTTGTTTTATATGAAATGGTGTTACTTTTCTTACAGTTGATGGGAAATGGAGTCATTGGAGTGCTTACAGACCATGCACTGTGACATGTGGCCAAGGAAAGAGAGTACGTACCCGAAAGTGCAACAATCCACCAGCAGCACATGGAGGACAAGGCTGTAACGGACAGTCCACAGAGACAACAACATGCTCACGTGGCGATTGCCCTAGTAAGTTTAGCTCAATGGTTTTATCTTAGTCAACATGACTAATTTTCTCATTAAGTTTAGTTCTATATATGGCTGCATGGAAAATATCCCAATAAGATTCTGTTAACAGTGTTATCTATGCCACCTTAGAAGGGCTCCAGGTAAATTTCTTTTGATAATGTTATCTGTGCCAGCATGAAAGACCTCCTGGTAAGTTTCTTTTGACAGTGTTATCTGTGCCAGCGTGAAAGACCTCCTGGTAAGTTTCTTTTGAGAGTGTTATCTGTGCCAGCATGGAAGACCTCCTGGTAAGTTTCTTTTGACAGTGTTATCTGTGCCAGCGTGAAAGACCTCCTGGTAAGTTTCTTTTGACAGTGTTATCTGTGCCAGCGTGAAAGACCTCCTGGTAAGTTTCTTTTGACAGTATTATCTGTGCCAGCATGAAAGACCTCCTGGTAAGTTTCTTTTGAGAGTGTTATCTGTGCCAGCGTGAAAGACCTCCTGGTAAGTTTCTTTTGAGAGTGTTATCTGTGCCAGCATGAAAGACCTCCTGGTAAGTTCCTTTTGACAGTGTTATCTGTGTCACCTTAGAATGGCTCCTGGTAAATTTCTTTTGATAGTGTTATCTGTGCCAGCATGAAAGACCTCCTGGTAAGTTTCTTTTGAGAGTATTATCTGTGCCAGCATGGAAGACCTCCTGGTAAGTTTCTTTTGACAGTGTTATTCATGCCAGCATGGAAGACCTCCTGAAAAGTTTCTTTTGACAGTGTTATTCATGCCAGCATGGAAGACTTTCCTAAAAGTTTGCCCTGATAAGACAATTTAAACAAGTAATCACTTTTAGTTAATTGACTCTTAATGAGGTAGGGCCTAGGTGCTGGTAATTTGATGATTCAGTTGATCAATCCTTGCATTAATCTTACACCTGAGCCTTTAAAGGTTAACTCTTTCACCAAAGGTTGTTTAAATAAATCTAAAGTTTTTATCTCTGCTATATGAAACTTATTTATAATTACACTTACAATCAAATCAAATCAACTCTTTCTATCTTACAGTCCATGGTAAGTGGTCTACTTGGTCTGGTTGGAGTGAATGTTCTGTGACTTGTGATCAAGGAATTCATGAACGTTCAAGAAAATGTAATAACCCTCCTCCAAGCCTTAAGGGAAAGGACTGTGAAGGGATTAAATTTCAAACAGGCATATGTGTCTTGCCTAGAAGATGTCCAAGTGAGCATTAGTAATTGATATATATATATATATATTTCATATTTTTTTACAATTGATGCACTGGTAACTTCTTAATTAAAAACCACATCCAACATTTTTTCAATCTAAATAAGGTATGATATCATAGTAAATATCAATTATTTACTATCAGATTTATCATCCTCTGCAGACTAGGTGTGATACCACATTAAATATTAATCACCATCCAACAGGATTATTATCTTGTGTAAACTAGTAAGATATTAGAGTAAGTATTAATCATCTACTAGCAGGATTAACACCCCACGTAGATTAGGTATAATACTACAGTAAACATTAACCATCTACTACCAATTTTATCATTCCATGTAGATTAGGTATAATACTACAGTAAACATTAACCATCTATTACCAATTTTATCATCCCATGTAGATTAGGTATAATACTACAGTAAACATTAATCATCTACTACCAATTTTATCATTCCATGAAGATTAGGTATAATACCACAGTAAACGTTAATCATCCACTATGAGGTTTATCACCCCATGTAGACTAGGTATGATATCATACTAAATTTTAATAAACAATATCTTTGTTAATAATACTTCTTCCTAGTTGAAGGAAGGTGGTCTCAGTGGTCGGAATGGGGTTTGTGTACTACTTCAGATTGTAATAAGAAGATTGGTTATTGGGTTCGGTCTAGACTCTGCAATAACCCCCTTCCAATGTTTGAAGGGAAAATGTGTAAAGGACAGTTTGTGGACAAGAGTGGTGCATGTTTTGACCCAGAGAATTGTTCAAGTAGGTTATAACTCTTGTTTCATCTCTTTTGGTTGACATAATTTTTAAGGTTTTCATTTAACTCATTCAGCATGGGCTCGGTCCCTGGGACCGACCTCGTAACCAGTTTGTGCTTGTTATAGTTTCCATGCTATAACTTTTAAATTAGTAACCAAATATTAACAAAATTTGGCAGATGAACAGTAAACATTACAATGCTTTCATATGCAAAAATATCAATTTTTTTTATTAAGTCTTAAGGTTTATAAAGCAATGTTTTTTTCGTGTCTATTTTTTCTTTTTGCATATTGCCTATCTATCATGCAAAGTAATATTCATTTTAAGATTAAAAATAATTTTATGCATCAGAAAATTTTGAAATTTCACATGCGAAATCTTTATAATGTTCAGATAGTTATCAAACGTTTCTTAAGAAAAACTTTATATTTTATCTGTTATTTTCAGTAATTAATATCTGTATGAGTCGGCAGATTTGACCGATATCGCAACCGCCATAAAAAAATTAGGAAATAAATATAAATAATGTCTCTTTCATTCTAGAATGAACACAAATTATAACACAAAAACATAATTGTTTAGACTAAATAGCTTAAATCTCATAATATTATACATTTATATTTATTTATTGTTTTTATTATATTGACTTTTCAGCCATGCCTGGCTAACAATACAGAATTTACAATGACGCGGCTCACGTGCACTCATTTTACCTATAAAATGACATAAAACTGACTTTTGGTCTGTGCAAAGTAACTTGTCTTGGCTGTGTTTTTGTAGACTAGTATTTTGTAAAATACAGTCACATTTCAATTATTATACATTATATATATGTATATAGACTATTTCTATATTGAAATAAGTACTTGAACATATTTTTCCTAAAACATAGAACAGTAAATAAAGAATTCGATGACGAGGAACCCACTTTGAGACTAATAATGCTTGGAGATGGCTTAAATGGGTAATGAAGAAAAACTTTAATATAAGTTTAAGATAACAGCAAATGTTGTTCCACTTAAGCCATCTCCAAGCATTATTAGTAAATAAAGAAAACAATTATCTCTTCTAGTTACAACCTTTGTACTCGGTTGCTAAGCCTTTAAAAATGTTGCATGTGGAGGATATGAAACAAAATACTTTTTTAAGGTTTTATATATATACATTTGAATAACTAAAAAAAATCATAAATTACTACATTAATACCATATAATTCCACTATAATTTATAAAGCTTAGTAACTAAGATGCATTTTAGTCTAAAGAAAATATGAAATTTCAAGCAGACTACAAACACACCCAACCTTATTGATATTGTTGCGTCAGCGAAGTCACATGACTAGTGTCACGCCACGTTTCTAGAACTATCCTGTACCTTGGCGAATGCTCTAGCATTTACTAGATATAGGGTAGTCTGATATATAAAAGAGGGAGACAACGTGACGGGACAATAATGTGTGTGTAGATAGTGAGTAATTGAACTGCAGTCAGAAGTATTGTTGACGTTCGTTGATATAGCATTTATTGTAGAGCGACTGTTGAAAATAAGTGTATCGTAAAGTTGTATTTGGAAAGAATAAACCAGTTTTATTAAGTAAGGACTTGTGTCGCTAAAGTTTCGTCTGAACGAAGTTACGGAAAGTTAATTAACGAACGGAGACGTAACAAATTGGTGTCAGAGAGTGGGATAGGAAAAAAAGAAAAAGAGAAGAAGATGGAAACGAGAGGCGGAAAATCCAACTACAGCTTAGCAGATTTGATGGCAGCAATACAAAAACAAGAAAAGAAACAAGAAGAACGAGAAGAGAAATGACAATAGTTGTTAGAGGAAAAAGAAAAGAAACAAGAAGAACGATAAAATAAACAAGAAGAACGAGAAGAGAAATGACAACAGCTGTTAGAGGGAAAAGAAAAGAAACAAGAAGAGAGACAACAGCATTTGCAAGAAAACCTGCAACAATAGCAGCTCGAACAACAAAAGAAACAAGAAGAACGAGAAATTAAACAAGAAGAGAAATTACGGCAGTTGTTAGAGGGAAAAGAAAAGAAACAAGAAGAACGAGAAATTAAACAAGAAGAGAGATTACAGCTGTTGTTAGAGGAAAAAGAAAAAAACAAGAAGAAAGATTACAGCAGTGGCAAGAAAACCTACAACAATGGCAGCTCGAACAGCAAAATAAACAAGAGAGATTACAACAGTTGTTGGAGGAAAAAGAAAATAAACAAGAAGAACGATAAAAGAAATAAGAAAGATT